GGTCATAGATAATAATTTGCAATCTAAATAACGATATTGATTGTCAATCCCTAATACTGCTGTCTAAAAGCACAAGTTGGTCCATCCTTGGCCATACTAAACCATAAAAACTCTCCCCACGTAAACCCTACCAGTGGTTTTTATTCTAGAACCCTGACCGAGGTACTAGTCGGCCCCTTTGATCGGGGACGGCTGCCGGATATGTAGGACCCCCTGTCAGCAAATGTTTTGACACGCCGGTGGTTATATAAGTAATATGATAATTAACGAACGAACAACCGAATGGAAAAATTGATTAAGAAACAAACGAGGTCATGATTTATTAAAAGAACGAATGTATGAACGTCAGTATGAAATAAATGGTTAAATAGACAGAGTCTGACAAGAACAAACACTGACTGACAAAGACAGCACGACCGATCGACTAATGAATTTCTATGAAGCCATAACTTTATAATATATAAACATATATTTTCACCTTACCATCAAAAGATTCGGTATTTAATGGGTAGCTTCCATTGCACGTGGTCCATACAAATCTTCCCTCGTATTCTCTATCATTCAAAGCTAACCAAAAAATATGTAATTCTTGTAAGGCGGTAAGACGTGCGTAGTCTTCTAATGTCCTAATAATGGGTAGATTTCCGCCGTAATCTGTTTCACATAAATTTACGGCGCTTTGAAAGTCTTCATATTGCAATGTAGAATGGTACACTGTTCCCCCAACTATTGTTGTTGAGATGAATGTACGCGACACTGAAGATGATATTGGAAAATAACAAAGATAAAATTAGTAAAATAGTCAAAAGCAATGGAAATTATAACATCCATTCACTGTTCGAACACCTGCTACTTTAGAAAAAAACTGCATTCACACCGAATCCGAATTTTCTGATCTGGTTTACCGAACCGATGAGAAAATCGAATATAGTGAGAAAAGAGGTCGAAATTTTGTTTTCGGATCCGATGTGAATGCAACACGTGGAACATAAACTGATTTTTACTATTATATCTTTGGCCAACTCTAACAGACAAAATAAATAAATTAAATTTTATGTATACTTTTAGAAACATCTCGTTTCATTCTTTTTTATTTATTTTATCTCCATTCCTAGCTAGTTTGGTTTGTTTGTTTTGTTTTGTTTTTTTTTTTTTTTTTTTTTTTTTTTTTTTTTTTTTCCTACATAA